AATACTACTACTGAGTCAGTACTGTTGCAAGTTGTGGCCATCTATTTATGTATCATGGGTCCCTTCCTCTTAATGCCCCCCGCCTCCACAAAACTTCGAATGGTTTATTTACTATCAGGGAGGTTGTCTTGCTGTTCGTCTTCATGGTGTGCTTGTGCTCCTGGGGACTTGCCGCTTAGGGTGCGGCATCTGCCTTTCCCCAGGCTGCATGATGCATGCCATAAACTTGACCAGCATCCCGCAGCCAGGGCACGACACCCCGACCAACGCCATGAAAAGCTCTTGTGAATCAGAAAACGGTCGGCTGGTACGATGGGCCAGCAAATGCATGATACGATATGATGGCTATTCAACGTGTGTAATATTATAAAGACACACACGTGCATGAGAGAGTCCGAAAATATGACACCTCCAGCAATCAAAACCCTACTGTAAAGAGCAGGATGCTTATCATTACTTTGGTAAGGATCCCCTCAAGGCCTTAGTTAAAATAAGACTACCCCTACGCCACACTAAACCCTATAAACCCTAAGCCTATTGATCTCCCGCAAACCCCCCCAAGCCGGCGAGGCAGCAGGCGTGGCTCCTCCTGCGCAGCGCGCGCCTGAGCCGCGTCGCCGCTGCGGTGGGCGCATGCTCCTTGCATTGGTTTAGGGTTGAGAGTTTAGGGTTTAGGGATGTTCAAGCCCTAAACCCATTTTCCTAGGAGCCTCGTCTAAACAATTCAGGGGTTCAGCTCCTTGTAATTAGCAACACGCCACCCGTAAAAGTAAACCTCGAATTGGAACCTCCCTCAGGGTTCGGGGATCTAGAATCTAGAGCTGTGGTCTCCTTTATAGTTCCTTAGTGGGTTGAATCAATATTTTTGTCAGGCTCCTGTGAGGTAGACCCCCAAACGGGGCTACGATGGAGACTAAGGCCTAGGGAAGTTCTTCTTGTCCGGGGAGAGGCTGACGGCTCGAATCTTCAGACTTTTGGGGGCTTTGCAGGGTTTCGGTATTCCGTCGTGTTGTGTTGTAATTGTAATGTCAGCAGATATGCATGCACGCATGGATGTGTGTGTGTGTGTGACAACCCTGTATCCAAGGGACTTCACGCCAGGCTCTTTCCACACGGCGCACAGTTCCGGTTCTCTAATTTTTGTGCTCTGATATTCGAACCAGCAGGGGGCGGGAGCATGGATTGCTGGACTCCCGCTAACTTACCATGGTGATGTGTTCTGGGACGCCGGAACATGTACCTGCAGTTTGTGACATCGTATAACATCCTTGCTGTGCCTTGGTTCTCCTGGATATATAACCCATTCTTTCCGTTGTCTTCGCTGGACATGGTGTGGGGCTAAGCCAAGAACCCCATCTTTGTGCTCAGTGCTTCCGTGCACCAGACCATTGTTCACAGACGATACAGACGACACCAGGGAGTCAGTGCTTGAGTTTGCAGCCCATGGCATGATATATGACATGTTCTTGCTGCACGGTTGTCGCAATCTACGGACCGCTTTGTCATGTCCCCAGTCGAGCCCTTCAGTGTCCAGTTGAGGTTCAGGCTTCGTTGTGGTTTAACGAGGTCGACCAGGTTCAGGCAGGGTTACTTTGAGCTGTTCTTCTTCGCAATTATGGAGCATGAGGCCACATCTCAAAAGTCACTGATGTATGGTCGCCTGAGACCTGGTCATCAGTTCTGGTCTTCGCATAAAGAAACCCAACTTAACATTCCGTGTGTGGAAACATAATGTGTATAGTATAGTCTAGTATAGTATAGTATAGTATAGTACAGTATAGTATAGTATATATATATATATATATATATATATAGTTGTACACGTATAGATACGTGTTGGATCGAGGGCCACCTTACCTTAGCACAAACTGTTGCCATTTCGCCATCACAGCATATCACCGGCAGCGCTTTCAACGCAAAACCTCTATCACCCCTCCCAAACCCAAACCCTAACCCCTAAATCCTAAACCCTTAAACCCCTAAAAACCCTAAACCCTAAACTTAAACCCCAAAGCCGTAGCCCTGGGCCCTGAACTTAAAACCGTGAACCCGAAGCCTCTAAACCCTTCAACCCTAAAGTCTAATCGCCGACCACGCAGTGCTAGAAAGGCAAAGTCTGAACATCTAACTCCAAGGTGTGTAGGGTTTTAGGGTTTAGGGTGTATAAGCTAGGCCTCCCAGTGAGCCCTTTTTCCCTTGTTGTCCCAGGTCCCTTATACAGTTACCCAATACCAAACAGGGAGCCCGTTTTATTCGTAGGTCACTGGGCATCCTGGATAAGGGTCTCGGATTTAGGGTCTATATGGGTTTAGGTTTTAGGGATGTTTAAGGTTTTGGTGTCTTACAAGGAACCTGGTTTAGGGCCCTCAGCCTGGAAATCTTGCATCTCAACCCTGGATAAACGCGCCGATAGTATTCCTCAGGGTTCCTTAGTGTAAACATAGAAGCAGATATACACCCGTAACACTATTATACATTTATAGCCCCCCGCCGAGGTGTGGCTGCTTGTTTGTGGCGGCCTCAGATGTCTTTTCTCTTAGCCGGCCGAAGGATTGCTAGCCCTATAAATCCTAGGCTCCTAGACTTCTTAAGCTTGAACTCTAAACCCTAGACTCCATAAAACTTGCTTCCAGGCCATTGGGGTTCAGGAAGCCCTAAACCCCAAGCCGTAAATCCCAGGGCTTCGGATCCAGGTAGACCCCAAGCCTTACGAGTCCAAGGCTTCAGAGCACTCAGAAAGGCCCGAAAAGTCTTTGCAAGCAGGGCACAAGGCCCATTTCTCTATCCGATCGAAAAGCAGGAATTTCTGGCAATCTTTGCGGATGTTTGGTGGACTGAAGTAGCTTTGTCTGGTGGGGGTTTATTGCAAGTTTGAGAGGGGTTCGGATGCCCTTCGTGTAGCAGGTTTCGTAGATCAAGCCTGTCTCAGACCGTCACGGTCCCATCGTGCTGACATGTCGGTCCACACTCGGATCCCCAGACCTTCCAAAATCCTTTAATTAAGGAATATCCCTTAAATTATCGTAGGATCCTTAATATGATTTAAGGTATATTCCTTAATTAAGGGATTTTGGAAGGTCTGGGTCCATTCATTAAGCTCCATACAAAGAGGTGCACCACTCAACGGAGTAGTGATTTGAGCTTTCCCGGTTTACATGGTCGTACCATGGTTCCATGGTAGCCCTAAAGGGTCCAGGTGCAAATAGAATATACTGTGGCCTTAAAGTCGTGCCTATATCTACGTACATTAGGGTCAAAGTTGGCCACAGAAGGCAACATAGGCATAGGTAAAGCTAAGCTCTTCTGACTGGGTTCCGGGATACGCCGCAACTCGATTACGATCATGTCAGCGACAGCAAAGTCCGGGCCCCGGCGTGAAAGGGGTCACAGACTTGGGGCCCCCAGGGTTTAGGGTCCAGGGATTAGGGTTTAGGGGGTTGGGCTTTGGGTTTATTTAGATTTTAGGATCTAAGACCTAGGGCCAATCTTAAGTGTCCACGTACCTATAATGATCATATACTCCGGCAAGAATTGCTCACCTTTGGATCCGCTAGGTTAACATAGACACCTGATTCATGAAGCACCTGTCTGCTAGGGCATCGATGTTAGGATCCCCAATAGTTTTTTTGGATTTCAGCTCCCCGACTATAAGCCCCAGACAGGCATTCCTGGGCGCACGCGATCTACGCAGCCTTGGATGCCGATGCAACGGGCCGCGGCGCTGCAATCAAGGCCTGCCGGTGTTTCGGGTCCAAGTACCTCCATCCATTTATATATATATATATATATATATATGAACAAGTATGCATACTATGTGTAAGTGTACATACATAGAGTAAACATTTACATATCTCTCTCTCTCTCTATATATATATATATATATATATACGCATACACATAGTCGACATGTCAACTATCGTGATACTGAGACAACAGCGGAAAATAACAGTGACACCTGCGACAACAGCAACACAAGTACTATGACCCGCCGGCTGCATCAACAACGTAATCAACAAAATCACCATCGTCATCGCCGTCGCCATCACCACCACCAGCAGCAGCAGCGGCACCAGCACCAGTAACATAGCGAAGCCAAACAAACACAGGTAGGCTTAAAACTGAACGGCAGACAGTGCTACATCCCAAGCTCCTATAAACTTCATGTGGAAGACGGAACACTTACCCAGATTATTCCTCAAGGCCTCACGGATACACTCTCCAAGTATATCATGATGGACACACTGGAACTTCGCCAGCGCTAGCCCATCACCTTCCCGCGAAAGTTTGCAAAAACAAAACGCAGAGAAGTCGAAACCCTTAATGCCACGAAGATGTAGCGCTTGGGGTTTAGATCCCGGGGCCTGTCAGGAAGGTACTGCACCCTACCTAAACCGTCCCTACACCAACCAAAAAAGTTTAAATCCAAGCAACGGCAGACCCGGCAAAGGCCTGCGCCGCCAACGCAGCTTGGCGATCGGGGCTTTGGCTCTTCGCATGCCTTCCGGTTGCCTAGATGCACGGAGGAAGGGCATGAATTGTCATGTTGTCGTGGTCTCTGCTGGCCTGGTCTTAAGCCCTTCAAGCTTAAGCCAATTTAGAGCCTTCTTCCCTTCACCGTAAAACGCGAACCCCAAGCCATAGGCCAAAAACGTCCCTAAACTGGCGAAGGTCTGACTTCCTTAAGAGGTTCTCGAATCTCTCAAGAAATCCCGAAATCCTAATACCATCCTAATCCCTAAACCATGTATCCCTAATCCCTAAACCCTAATCCCCAAACCCTAATCTCGAAATCCTAATACCATCCTAATCCCTAAACCCTAAACTCTCTCTCTCACGCATACGGAAGTCCGGGGCGGTCGCGTGCAGGCCAAAAACAGGCAAAGCCTGCAGCCAATTCAGAACCTAAGACAAAAGGACCCGCGAGGAGGGTGCACCACCGAGGCGTGCACAGCAGCCTCGCAGGAAGGCAGCCCGATCAGACAGGAGCCCAAACAAGCAGCTCAAGAGGAAGACAGCTGATGGGGAGCCGCGAAAGCCAGAGGAGAGGGCGGATGCCGGAAAAGAAAGGCAAGCCGCGACAGGGAGGAACCGAGAGAGGCGAAAATCCAAGCAGGATGATCCCGAACGACAGTGAGAGACCAAGCGGCATCCGGGCAAATGCAACCCAAAGCCGCGCGAAGAGAACTGCTGGGTGGAACATCAGAGCACAGGGCATGACCCAACGGCACCAGACGAGCCAGGTGCAGAAAAGTGAGGGTGTGCCGCAGGAGAAGCTCAGGGCCCGTGGCGGAGATTACCCCAGAGACAGGGCAATGAGCTGGGACATCGTGGCCAGTCGCTAGGGAGCGGGTGGCCGCCCGGTAACCAATCAGGATTGCGGGCGAGAGGGCATCGGAATCAGCCATGGCCTGCCAAAACCGGGCGAGGTGTTGCCATGTGTGTGGAAGCCACCAACCGGCAGCTCCTCGCCGCAAGCCAGACCAGAGGGGAGATGGAGCCTGGCCTTGGTCCTGGAAGAAGAAACTTCTGCCAGCCAGCTGGGCAATCGCGAGCACAGAGGCAGAGGCAGGCAGACCGGGAGCAGTTTCAACTTCAGATTCAACTGCTCCGGTGTGTGAGGTTCCCTCGACCTCGGGCGAAGCCTGGGCCTCCTCCCACTCGACGAGAAGAGCGGCAGCATCCCACGGCTGATCATTGTCAAAAGCTTGCCTCTCCGCCGGTGTCGCGTTGCGAGGACCACACAACTGAATCGGGGGCAGCCGGCGATGTTGCTGCGGGCCGCGCCGTTTCGTACCCGACCCGTATTGGTGGTGCGCCCCGACAGAAATCTCCAAGGGAAGGCGACAACCGGCCGAGGTGGCGATGTGGTACTTGAGACGGTCAGAGGAATGAAAGTCTCGCAAACACCAGCTGCAGGTGGTACCATTACAAAGCTCAGTAGCTCTAGCGAGGGTGCCATGTTTGCGGTGCCGATGCGCTGCGAGAGCCTGGGCAGTACGGCCTATCCATCCGCACGTTGGGCACTGCACGGGGTGGGATTGTCCGATGGTGCCAGTTTGCGCACGGATGGCGCGGCTGCGCCAGAGCCTGTGGAAGGCGAGCAGCCCAGAGCCAAATTTGCCGAAGCGTCGGCAAGCGCCTCTCAGAAGTCTTTCGTGGGCTCGGCAGATCCGCATCGGGCTGTCCCGGAGCTGATCAGGTGACAGCCCCGCAAAAGTGCCAACCGTGCACACGGCGTCCTTGAGAAGGGACGTCCACGACAAATCGCGCTCACATGAGGCCTCGACAAGATCGAGGACGGCAGCAGGGGCCGCGGTAGCAATTTGAACTGCGAGGCGCGCCCGGCACAGAGTAGTGGCGACTTGCGGTGTGGCAGCAGGTACCAAGACGTCGAGTGCTTCACGCGTCAAATGGTGTGAGACCGACCAGGAGGCCACAAGGGATCGCTGACATCTGTCGAAGAACCCTTGGTAAATAGTCCAGACCCGGCCGGAGTTGACAAGGGCAGTGGCGAGGCTCGAGTATGCCGCCGGCAGCACCCTGCCCGTGAACCACGCAACCTTGACCTCAACAGGAAGGGATGGGGAGCGCATGAGCCCATTCGCTTGGCTCCAGGCGGCCTGACCGCGTTGCACAGAGGCTTCGGCGTCCCGGCGGCCGTTGTCGGGTGCCGTCTGTGGCACACCCAAGTACTTGTACTCTGCCACAAGACGCAGGGTACGGCCGGGGGAGAAGGGGACCTGCGGGGATGGCAGAAGCAGAGCAGCGCGAGCGGCGGGCGCGCCTGGGCCCCTGAGATGCAGAAGGCCTTCGGTCTTGCCCGGACCGAGGTTCACCCTCAGTCGGTACATCTCGGCAGTCTCGACTACAACCCGCGTAACGACAGGGACCTCATCAGCAAGTTGGGTTGCCGAGTCGGCGTCGACCAAGACCGAAAGATCATCGGCCCAGGCGATCTGAATCGGCCTGCATGGTCCGCCTACGGCTTCAGAGGCCGAGCGGTGTCCAATCTGCAGAGACACAAGCTGTGTTTCAACATCATCAAGGATTTGTGCGAAAATTGCTCCGAAGAGCACATCCGCTAGACCGTCGCCAGGCCTGCTGCCTCTGCCTGCCAAGATGATGGCATCGTGGCCGCACAGGGACCAATGGGAGCAGCGAACGCAGTCTTCAAGGAGTGCACACACATCCTCAGCCATGCCCCTGTGACGGAGGACTCCATCCGTGAGGAGGCTAGAAACGAGGCGTGAGGCTTCTCTCTGCCGGGCTCTTCCATGGTCATGGCCAAACAGAAGTTGTCGGTCCGCCTCATAATAGGCGGCTTGCACGTCCAGGAACAAGGCGAACCACGAGCGGCCTGTGAAATCACTCAAGGCAACAAGCGAGCGAAAGGATGCCACAGCAAAGCCGGTGTGCACTCCGCGACGGCCCCCAAGCTGGAGGGGATGATAGGCACCGAGAACTTGCTGTCCGAGGGAGTGGCGAACATGCCCGTGCCAAATCTTGGCGATACCATTAAGTAACGCTATGGATCGATAATTGCTGGGGACGCTGGCTGGGCCTTTTTTGTGCAAGGCGCACACCAGCGCCGCCTTGAACTGGGGGGGCTCCTGCCCTTGCCCCGCAATGTCCGCGCACAGCATCCACAACCACTGGGCTGCCGCGACGGGCTGACCTTTCCACAGGCCGTTACTGATACGGTCAGGCCCAGGCGCTTTCCGCAGTTTTTGCCGTCGACATTGATGTTCGACATCGAGGAGGGACGGCAGGGCCCCGGGGCACGGCCTACGGGAGCTTACAGAGGATTTGCGCAGCTCAGCTTGCAGTTCCTGAGCAGTGAGACGCTGACCGTCTTCCTGTTGTTGGAACTGCCGGAGCAAGTCAGCGTCGATGTCATGACCGCCGGCAGCAAAGACCTTCCGTCTTTCGGCCGCACGCTTGGAGGCCCAACGCAGCCGATGAGTGGCTTCCATGGCTCGCCCGGTGTCAAGCCAGAAGTCAGTGGCACTCTGTGTGAGCTGTTGGAAGTGGGCAGCCTTGTCGCGCCTGGCGAGCCAGTGCGCATGCTCCTTCAGGCGGAGAACCACCAGCCAAGTGCGGGCATATGCGCGGTGACCATTACGCACACATTGGCGAACATGACCCCGAGGGCGATCCGGCGTGCTCCAGATCCGGAAGGCCAAGTGCAGCAAATTGCGGCTACACACTCGTGCATGGGATCGGAGCTGTCTGCGTCGCTCCTTGAGGGAAGTGAGGACCTCGAGAGCTTCATCGGAGATGTACGGTTGCCGCGGTACAACTCGGGCGGGGCGCTGCTCCGCCCTGGCAAAACGGTGGAACCTTTTGGTAAGAGCTGCCGTGGCTTTCTCGGGATCCCCAGGGTACGAGAAACCTTCCCACACACGACTAGCGATTGCAGTTGCAACGGAGTCAGGGGGGATAGGGCGGCGCCTTCGGTCCTGTGCATTTGCCACTGGTTCAGCACAGATGTGGAGGCTACAGGAGATGGGAACATGATCAAGAGTGCTGTTGATGATATCAAATTCCGGAAGGCATTGCGAGGACGTCGCACGGAGACCGCCCGCCGAAAACAGAATATGATCATGGCGCCTGCATTTGCCAGAAGAGTGTTGCCATGTCCAGGTTTGCCCTTGATGCAAGCGGCTCCAAGTGGCAGGCGCCTCCAGGAAATGGTCTTGTGCGAAAGAAAGCAGTTGCAGATCTCCTTCCCGTGGGGGGCGCCCGTCAACGAGATCCCCAATGAGCTGACCCTCACTGTCTGCCGCGGTGAAGTCCGCATTTGCGTCAACTCCAATGAGGAGAGGGGTGGAAAGAGGCAGGGCATGGATCTCACGTCGCAAGGCGGACCAGAAGTCAACGATGTCTTGCTGGGGTCTGTCTGCGTGAGGAGCATGAGCGGAAATGATGACGACCGGGAAGGCAGACCGTTGACAACGGATGATCAAATACCTGGGTGAGGACGCCACAATTCGCCAGTCTTGGAGCTGCAGGTCGCCGCCAAAGGCACCTTGGTGAACCCAGATTTCGACCCCATATTGACCCTTCTCATGCCCGCTGCGCCAGGTGAGGTAGGGACCAGCGGCATACCTTGAGGAGTGCGAAGGCTGATGCGACTACCCTCCAAGGTAAGATGGTGAACCTCGTCTTGCGTGAGGTGGGAGGGGAGGGAAACAGCCCAAAGCCGTTCGTCATCACCACGCAGGATGACGTTTGCACGAAGAGGGTCGACAGCACGTGGGATCATATGAAGTGCTCCGCAGTCAGGTTGTGGACGGACAGGGACCAGCGCTGGCCTCCTCGCAACAGGGCATGGTCCTGCAGAAAGTCATTAGCAAGAGCAGCCTGACCCGGGCTTCCAACTGGAAGCCAGAGAGGGGCGCATCCCCGTTGCTGGAAGGGATCATGCAGGCGCAGGGGAACACGTGCGAGTGAGGCTCCCAAACGGACTCCCATACCAGCAGACGCGTCCGCTTGCAGGTAGACAGATTGCACATGCCGAATGGAGGGTGCGTCAGCAACCCGGAGAAAGTTGAGGGGTCGTTCATCCGAGATTGGGACAGAGGTGCGCGCCCTGTTGTCGTCAGCAACGCTGACAGCAAGCGGTCTGCCCGGAAAATGGCCGAGCGTATGTGCGTGCCGGTGCTGGCCAGTAGACCCACAGGGCCCTTGGCCTCCCGAATGAAGGAAGGGCATGTGGCGGCCGGTCGGCACAGGAGACCTCGACCGACTTCGGTCCCCCGCCAGAGTGGGCGCGCCCCAGATTGGAAGGAGAAAGGCAAGGGGCATGAGCCACGTGCGTGCGGCCGAGTGCTTCGGCAAAGTGACTCCGACAAGGAGACAGATACCCGGCACAAGGAGGGCAGGCCGAAGGGATCCGGAGTTCTCGGTCCCGCGGAAGGTGGAGGTAGTGTCGGCATCTCGGCTTCGCCCTTGCAATAAGGGAACCTCTGCAGAGGGCAAGCCTTCGGCCGCTGGCACATGCGCCTGGGCAGCTAGGGCAGCAAGTTGGCATTGCATATCCTGGATAGCCCACCAGACATCGTCTAAAGTAGCCGTACCTGGTTCCGTTTGTACAGCGGCATGCCGTTGTGTGATCAATGACGGGCAGGCCTGCAGGGAAGGACAACTATTCCGTGAGCAGATAGCGGCTGCTGTTGGAATCCCACATCCCGCGGAACTCGCAGGACTAGCAGGTAGAGCTGGCTGGAGTGAGCTAGGGCCAACGGCGAGGCTGAGGGCCCACCTACGGTGACCACCTACGCCAACTCCCTCGGTGCTCTGCGGAACCAAGTATGCATTGATGGGTGCTTCCCGTGTAGGACCCGTCTGAAGCATCCGGGCAGGCAGAGGGGGTGGGGACTCAAGCGCCCATGGATCAGGAGGTGCCAGATAAGCAGTGTGGCGGTGCCGTGGACAGTGCAGAACGACGAGATCACCATTCCTGATCTGGACTGCCTGTCCATAGGAGTATCCACAGTTACCCAACCTAAACCCGAATGGCTGGGCTAGGGTGGCCTCGCGGAAGACATCCCCGACCCACCGTCCAAAGGCATCCCAGTCGAAGTGTTGCGCATCGAAAGCAAAAACCGCAGCGCGGCCATCAAGCTGCACAAGGCAAGCAGTTATCCCGGAGTGGCCAAAATGCAGGGGTACATAAGCGGCGTCATAGATGGCTGGGTCCGCCGTGCCACGGATGGGAATGAGGGTGCCTCTCTCGACCCCGAAACCTCCTAGCTGAACAATGCCATGAATTTCCTCCTCAGTCGGCCAAGGAGGTCCTGACAATTGAATGGGGGATGGATGATCAACAATCCAAATACGGATGGCGGTATACACTCGCACCTGTGGTATCTGGACTGTTTGTTGCATAGATTGCCCTGTCCAGACCTCGACATCCAGCAACCACATGGCGACCAGGCCTAGTTGGCGACCCGGACGGAGGCTAATGGGGGCAGCTCGTAATCCGAAAGCCCCCGGCAGCTCCGCAAGGAGCAGACAAGCCAAACTGATGGTGCTCAGCAAGGGTGCGGTTCGCCAGGCCGAACCAAGTGCAAGTATGAGCCCCCCTTGACCAAGCGCTGCCGTGAAACCATCAACCGGGTTAACAACAGTTGCCCGTCCTCCTTGGGGAGGGATCGTGCATCGTGCCAGCCGGCTGTGATGGGCTAGAGCATTGACCTCACCCGCGGAGTTCGTGGTAACCGCAAGCCTATGTCCAGCACAGGGGAGCCAAGTGACTGGTCGGAGGAGCTCACGACTAAGCAGGTCACGGACAATCCACCAGCTGCCTTGTCCTCGCGGCACAGCCACCAGCTCAAGCGTGTGCGGGTCCGTGTCAGCAGCCGCAAACAGTTCATGATCCTCGGGACAAAAGCCGCCTAGCCTGAGAGCCTGATCAAATTCAGATGCAGTGTCGGTCCACCTGACCAAGGCAGGCCCTCGCATGGCGGTCCAGAGCCGAAGGTCGTGACTTGCAGCCCCGAGTGAGCACAGCCACGGATAGATCTGTTGAGGGTCTATAGGGAGCATAGCCGCCATAGCACTAGCCTCAAGAGCGGGCGTGAGGGGAGGATTCCAGCACTCGTCCCTCTGATCTTCAACTGCAGCAGTGGAGAAGGGAGGGGAAGGCTCGCTGTCGGTGGCATTGGGATTTGAGGATTCTTCAGATGTAGGAGACTCCTGCTGAGCAGGTCTCGCGGTAACGCCAAGGATCCAGCCGATGGAGAGCCATTTAAGTGGGGCTTTCCCAAGAGCCCAAAGAGCAACACTCGCGACCGAGGCGGCTTGATGGACCGACGGGACGGCCCCTTGCCCCGGAACCTCCCGACCGCTTTCACAGGTCTGATGCAGGGTGAGGCATCGCCCCGTGGCAGTGCTTAAATCTTGAGGGTACCGCCACCATCGGTCCTCAGTTGTGACAACAAGATCAGCAGCATCCCACGGAGTGAGGCCGCCGAGGGACACAACCGCGTCCCAAGAGACCTGGGGAGTGCAAGCACCGTTCCATCTGCCCTCGATCTTCAAGGCCCAGATCTGCATGTGTGGACCGCAGCGGACAACACACGTCACATCAGCTGCTTCACACCGGATGACCGGGAGGTCTCCGTCGGCATCCTGAAGATGTGAGGGATGACATACCGGGACAGTGGCCCGGGGAGAAGGGCTTCGGACCGGAGAGGCAGTTCTCGTAGCAGCAGCACCTTGCCTGGAGGGCGGATTACGACCTGATCTGGCTATCCCGGGAGGAATTCTAGTGCGCAAGACTGTTGCCCTTTGACGGTGGACAGAGATGCTGTCACCAGGGAGAGCTTGCAGGTCAAATGCCATGCGAACAAACAGAGTTTTAGTGCCCGAGCCACGGGCACACAGGCCATGCACTGTTTGGACGGTCCTGAGATCCGCGGTTGAGACCAAGCTGCACACTGCCCTGGCTGAAGTAGACGTGCGTGCACACGCTTCAAGCACGTCGACCGCAACAGAAAAGGAACCGACAGCGGTCACGGCAAGTCCAGTGTTGGGGTTGCCAAAATGATCATGCAACCACAGGACGGCATTAGTGGCACCAGCGACAATGGTATGGAAGCATGGAAAACCTACCAGGTTGGAGAGCTCCAAAACCTCCACAGCTTGCCTAGGCGCATAATTCCGCTCCCGAAGCCATGCCTGAACTGCTCCGTGAGGGCTTCGGCCCGTGACGGTATCGTGCAAAATTTGCACACCTCGATGAGCCGTCAAAACCGCAATCTGACGGTATGGGAGCACATCTAGCCACCGAGATGGCCGAGCGATCTCAGAGTAAAGAAGAAAGCGGCTGGCATCAGCCCGCCCAAATTCCTTGTCAAGCTCGACCCGAATGACATCACCGTGCCGAAGCGGCGTGGCCATCGGCAGAAAACGCACACAGTCGGATCGCAACTTAGCTTCACACTGTCTCAAGAGGAAATCCTGCGGAGCTTCACGGGGCACATCAATGCAAACGCAGGATGTATCCGCTGCGAAAAGCGTAGTGCGATGTCCCGATTCAGTGGTAACAGCGACGAAGTGCACAGCCAGAGCATGTGGCGACGTAGCTGCAGGGACAATTTGGCCTCGGCCCCACGACCTAGCTTTCTCGGTGAGTGTCTCGCGAAGGCGATGCCTAGACATAGAACCTGGAACTCTGAATTCCTCAAAATGTTCCGGGGCCCAGAGACAGGCATTGACCTCTAGATCATGATGGAGGGTGCCATACCCAGAGACAATCGGCAGGAAGTCGCCCTCCAGGCCTGACACAAAACCTTGTTGCAATCGGAGGTGCATTGAGGCATCGTGATACGCCAGGTCGGGCTGAAACCGGGGAATATGCATGGTTCTAGCCGTGCCTGTCAGGTCAGTAGGCTCACTGTCCGCACGACCAGCAGAGACCAATGTCACAAAGTACCCCGCTAAGAGCACATTCCTCAGCCATCCTTGGCGAAGTAACCCGAGACTAATCCACCCAGCGGCGCTAGGGTCCACTCGAGGTGCTGGGGCAGCCGGGTTACCTCCAGGGTGCGGCAAAGTGGTGTCCGCCGTCGGCTGCGTGGTCTCAGTTCTAGCCCTAGCTTGGCCCATGTGGGGTCTGCGGTGAGGAACAAGGGTCAGGCAGACCGGGGGTTCGCTATCGAGGGAGGTGGCAGGAGAAATAACAACCTCATGATGGAGGACCCTCAAATGACCATCATGAATTCCTCGCAGAATCTCGGGTCCATTAGGTCCTGCCTGCCTGAAGGTAGGGAGTTGCATAAGCACGTCAGCAACAGGGGTCTGGGGTCCCAAGTACACCAAACTAATCTCACCCCCAATAGCCCGGGCATCGACTACATAGGTGACCTGAAGAGCGGACTGCTCAGCTTGAGCAAATTGCAGTGGCGGCAGCCCCGGCATATGCGGCCACACCCGTTGCAAGCGGAGGGGACCAATATCTCCGACCGCCTCATACGCTTCACGAAGGAGCTCGTCCCGATCATGGAACGGGTCCGTGTCGTAGAAAATGAGACCGGTGAGCGTAATGATCACAGCTCTGGCGTGGGGATTGACAATCATTTCAAAACCCTGGTCAGTTCCATCGAATGAGCTGACCGCCATCCGGTGCTCAATTGAGTGAGTAGGGCTGCGGCTGCCTCTCGACTCTTCTGCATACACCGGTAACGCTTGTAGGGCGTCATTGCCGTGGAGGAGGAGTGCCTGACATTCGGGCTCAAAGAACCCGTGCCGGGTGCGGCACACGGTATTGGCAAGATCCAAGGCCAGATCCTGGCTTCTAGCAGCAGCAACAAGAAAGTAACTAGCCAGCTGCTGACGTGGCCCTCGGACAACCGAGATGGTACCTCCGAGGGCACAGAGGTCAACTGGAATGCATGCCTGGTTCCATGCCACATCATTCGGAATGACAACAACCTGCTCCAGGGGCAAGGCGGGCAGCAAAGTCTGGAGCTCATGGACGTGCCAGAGCTGGAATGACAGGCCAACAAGCTGCAGAATGACCCTGTGCAGCTGAACCCCGTGCAGCCGCGTATCAATCGCAACCTGAATCGGCCCCCCAGACGTATGTCCTGCCACGAAGACCGCAATGGACCTGAGGCAGTGAGGCTCGGGGTTACCTGGGTTCGGGAGTCCAGCGGCGGCGTTGATGAGGGGACCCTCGAGTTCATGCAACCCATGTACCCTCGGTACAGTGCCAACAGTAAGGAGGGACTCCCCACGGAATCTCCGACTATGACGCACCTGCACAAGTGACATAGCATCATGGGTCATCCTCATGCAGCCTTCAGGATCAGGAGGGCAGGAGTGACCAGAGCTGCCGATGTCTGGCTCAGTCTGTGGCTGAAATGCAGGACCCGATCCAGCGGCATGAACATGGGATGAGGCAATGAGCCACAACAGAAAACCGACGCGCACATGCTTGCCGATACCTGTCTTGCCCGAGGTACGGGAGCGCCGCAGGGAGGAACACAGACAAGTTGGGCAGAGGACGAGGTAGGAAGGAAGCCCAATTCCAAGGCACAAGCGACCGAGGAGTTGATGGCACAGCTGTCTGGCAAGGCGGGCAAAACTTCCCAGGAAAATCACTGTACAGATTCGCCAAAACATCTGTACAACTCTCACGTCCAACCTCCAAACAATATTCCGAGCGTCGGCTCCGAGTGCGCTACGACTCATTCGAAGGGGCATTCCTGTTCCAGCAGGATCAGTTCTACATCGTCCTCGGTCCGAGTCGTGGGCAGATGGCCCTTTGGTTGCAGGCCTTGCTGAAGTACCACATGAGGATTTGCCCACTCTTGCAGCGTTTGCGGGGCAAAGTTGGCAAGCCCCACCACTCTTTGGTTGAGAAGGTGGGCCAGGGCTACCAAGCCTTGCCTGCATGTAGTTGCCAACACTGGCTGCGAGTGGATCATCCCGCCCAGATGTTGTACTTCTCGGCTGACCTGCAGTATGTGATGGCCCTTGACCTCGTCGGAATGCTCTGCATGTGCCCGCAAAGCTTGCCAAAGGGTCTCGGCCTTTTGGTGACATTCCTGGATCTCGTCTGCGCTGGCAGGTTGTCCAGGTAGATGCACTTGTTCCACGTGCCCCGGAACATCGCCGACCAGATCTGAGCCTTGGGCTGTGATGCGCTGAGCCATGTTGACCCACGCATGGAACCATGCCTGCTGAGCAAATTGCCAGTCTCGCTCGCCTTGTTCCGCGTCTGCAGACAGCCTGGACAGCCCCCCATCGGTTAATAACCGACGTGACCTAAACACAAACCGATGTAGGCCATCCCGGGCTCCCAGCGGTTAATCGAACATCCCAGCGGTTATTTGATATCCCAGCGGTTAATTCAACATCCCAGCGGTTATTTCAACATCCCAGCGGTTATTTGATGATCCCAGCGGTTAATTGTCCCAGCGGTTAATTCCAGCGGTTAATCGTCCCAGCGGTTAGTCCCAGCGGTTAATCCCAGCGGTTAATTGTCCCAGCGGTTAATCCCAGCGGTTAATTGTCCCAGCGGTTAATCCCAGCGGTTAATTCACATCCTAGCGGTTATATATCCAAAGGTTCGGGATCCCAGCGGTTAGTGAAGGTGCCAACGGCCGTACGAACATGGTGTTAATGAATTTGTGTGGCGTGGCGAGGTGCCAACGGCTGTACGAACATGGTGTTAATGAATTTGTGTGGCGTGGCGAGGTGCCAAAGGCCGTTCTCTGCCTCCGGACGGGTGGCGCAAAGCAGCCAAACCTTCACTTACTACTACTACTACTATTACTACTACTACTACTACTACTACTACTACTACTACTACTACTACAGCTTCTGCAAACACTGCTTGGGCTTTCGGTGCTTCAGCTTCTGCAAACACTGCTTGGGCTTTCGGGGCTTCAGCTTCTGCAAACACTGCTTGGGCTTTCGGGGCTTCTGCTTCTGCAAACACTGCTTGGGCTTTCGGTGCTTCAGCTTCTGCAAACACTGCTTGGCTTTCGGGGCTTCAGCTTCTGCATACACAGCACATAAATAGTTTATCAGTTTTGCAAGTAGATCTTTGCAGTCCTGGCATCCAGGACGGTAAATATAGCGGTTATGCAGTCCTGGCATCCAGGACGGTACGTATAGTGGTTATGGTCCGGTTATGGTTGTTACACTGCGTAGGTTTTCGTAGTACTAGTACTAGTAGAAAGCATATTATGCAGGAGTCTTTGTTGACTAGCTGTCACAATCAAACATATACACGTACGGCGTGGCGAGGCGCCAACAGCCATTACAACTCACGGTGGGCGGCACTTCAAGCAATCAGTCGCAACCAACCAACCGACCGACCAACACTCCAGCACATGCATCAAGCCAGGGACACAACCACCATCCAACACATGCATCAAGCCAGGCACACAACCACCATCCAACACATGCATCAAGCCAGGCACACAACCGACCAACAGGTGCAAGCCTTCAGAGCCAAGCACACAACCGACCAACAGGTGCAAGCCTTCAAGCAATCAGTCCCAAGCACAACCAGCGTTCCTCGAGATTCTACAACTGCCACTGCGAGCCAAGCACACAACCGACCAACAGGTGCAAGCCTTCAAGCAATCAGTCCCAAGCACAACCAGCGTTCCTCGAGATTCTACAACTGCCACTGCGACTGCAAACACAGCTTGGCTTTCGGTGCTTCAGTTTCTGCAAACACTGCTTGGCTTTCGGGGCTTCAGCTTCTGCAAACACTGCTTGGCTTTCGGGGCTTCAGCCTCTGCAAACACGGTTTGGCTTTCGGTGCTTTTGACAGCATTATGCAGGATTCTTTGTTATGGGTTTGAACAGTTCAGGCGTGGAACCCAGTTTTTGTTTGCAGGCTTTTGATTTGGAGTTTGTGCAAGCTTTGGCCAGGGTTTAGGATCAAGGCGGATGTTGCGAGGGGGAGCACCTCCACCCGATGGCCAAGGGGGAGCAACTCCACCCGAGGCCATGCATGCACTAGATTGGGAACAAGAGAGGTTTCGGGAATATCGGTATTAAGGGGTGTATATGTGAATGCATCCTCCCTTTTTTTGGGGAGGCCTTGGCCCTTGCGGTTTCAAACTTGGAACCTAAACTTGCAAGCTTCGGGACTATGGAATGTTGTTTGGTTGCATTGTGGCAAGTTCTTCCTTAAGCCGAAATCTAAACCCTCAACCCCCAAACCTGAAGCCCCAACTTTGGAAACCCTAAACCCTAAAACCCTTAAGAGACCTGCGGCGTCCTCTTTTTTTTCGGCGACGCGGCGCTTCTTCTTCGCCGTCGCCCCGGGCAAGCGTTGCCAGAGAAACACTTGTTTCGTCAGGTAACGTCTTGCCCAGGTGCGAGGCTGAGAAGTCACGTGGCAGCCGGCCGAAACAATCTTGAGGAACTTCATATGATCCTCATCCAAAAAATTCGCAGCATGGTAAAAGTTGAGCTTGTGGCAGGGCAGCTCATCCACCAAATGCTGCGTGTAATGCATCTTCGGCCGAAGTTTGTACAAGCAGATGCCTTTTCGATGAAATCGTGCAGCAGCGTGAGCATAACTCAGAAGGAACGTATCGAAACACCATTGTGATTCGATAATCTCCTCTGGCTTGAGAAAGGGTTTACTGCCAGTTCCCCCAACACTCAATGCTGCATCCAAGCACCATACCATCGTTGCCCTGCACCTCGACCAATGCACCGTGTCTGAGGGTGCGTCACCAGACACCAGTATTTCCAGTTGACAGCAGTAATAAGCGGTAAACGCCAGCAAGTTTCTGGTCCGACTTGCTTTATACGGCTTGTGAGCTCAGGGTAGATAGCCTTCTTGTTGGCATGTAAAGTTTCCCACGTCAGCGGCTTCATCGAGCAATCCAGGCCACGATCCTTGCAGAAACTTTGGGCTTCCGCAGTCCACCTGTGAAGAAGCTGATCTGGGCTGCCATCGAATTGCAAGAAAGCTGCCATCTCGCCCGATCTCACGGTCTCAACCAGAATGGAAGCCACAAGGTCCCGGATGTAACCCAGATGGGCGAGGTGCATAACTTGGTTGAGCAGTGCATCTTACAGTATTCGAGCACTACATAACCAAAAGCCGTACGGATCGCTAATCATTGTGAGTGTACACAGGCCGGGGGCACTCACCCTGAAATGCTCAGCTAAAAGAAGCACATGGCAGAGGCGGCCCACGGCGAGCCAAAATATTATATCAGTGGCTTCGGGTCCTCGAGCCCTTGGGCGAGGACCCTACACCGATTGTACGTTATCAGCCATAAAAAAGCCATCCAGGAATGCTGTTAATGCGACCTAGAGGCTGTCAAACAGGCGGCGGCGCTTGGTGAAGCCCTTGACTGAGCACCAAACAGATCGTTCTTCTTGGTGTGGCAGCGGCTCATGGTAGCTGCATGTAGAGCGCCACAGAGCTGACGAAGAAAAGTCTGTGAAAGTCAGCTGTTTGTCCCGGCTCGATGCCCAACACCAATCGCATATCGAAGGCTTGTTATAGTGCCTCTGAAGATTGTGTGATTTTGCATGAGCTTCCATATCTCCAGCCCAATATGAGAAGCATGCTCGGATCCCAATGTTTTGGCCAATCTTTTGGGCTCGCGCTGAGCCAGCTGGCCACGGAACGTCGTTGTGGTCGCAGGATGGAAAAACGCCACGTTCCAGTGATCGAAGATCCCAAGCGATGATGTCAGCGATGCAGCGTCTCGTTTCGGGCGCGACACGACTGTTCGTGACACCAACAATGCCTTTAATTGTTGTTGTCCATCATATACATATATATATATATATGTATATGGTCAGCTAGCTCTGTTGTCCAACTAAAAGAATATTGCTAATCGAAAATTTCCGAGGGACAGAAGCGAGAGATCTCGCTTCCGCGGCTAGCCAAAGGCGTGGTCCAAGACCAGAAGTTGCATGTTTCGCTCTTAGTTGTTGGTACACCATCCTCATGAAAGCGTAATGGAAGCATGTCCTGGTAGTTGGGATTGTTCCGGGAGATCTCCCGTATGTAAACCTGGTCCCGTTCTTGCTTCCACCATTCATCTACTGACCTGAGATATCAAAGCAGGAAATGTGCGTCCATGAGCAATACATGCACCAACAATGAACCAAGCAATCAGGCGCGGGCCGAGGTGCGAATGTCCAATAAGACAGGTTTCCACCAGTGATCTTTTGCAAAGCTCGCAGAGAACATCACTGGGAAGACAGAAAGCTGTTTTCTCAAATATCAGTTGTTTGTCCTTGCGTTCTTTGGTGTTGCTCCACACAGGCAAATCCACCAGCAGGGGCTGGATGGGTAACTTCATCCAGCGGAAGAAATCCCTCTCCCGTTCGCTGCTTGCCATTTGTGAAAGGGCAAGTCCAGATGCCCCATCTCGCCGGAAGGCAGATGCTATTCTGCTTGTTTCGGCCACAGGTATCGCCTCAGAATGTGTGTTCTGGCTGCAAGGTCCAAGAGTGTTGCACACGGACTATATAGCTGACGTGCTTGGATACATCCAAGTCAAGAGTCTCCAGCACCCATGCGCTGGGCCAGTAAAGCTGCACCAGCGGAGTCAAAGTCATCTGCGGTCCTTGCTCCAGTGGCGTGTTTATGCTTATTGCATATATTGCGGTCCCAGCAGCATCCCACGACGACGTGTTGTAAAGGCAGGCCGACCAGACTCTGTCAAGGGCACGTACCTGGCAACAATGTTTTTCATTCCTTCCACCCCATCACGTGAAACCCCGTCAGGGCATCTGCAGCAAGCAATTTTTGGCACCAGAGCGACGATCGATTCCCCAAGGATTGTGAAAGTCGAGAGCACTGGCTTGGGTCCTCGAGCCCTTGGGCGAGGACCCTACACCGACTGTACGTTATCAGTGTCGGACACTGGAAGAAAATGAGATGTGCAAAATCCAGATGGATCTGTTACCAGTAACCTTGGAGTATTCTAATATATTCTAATATACGTGAACAGCACGACATGCCCATCTGAGCACCGACCCCGGGTGCCAAGATTCTTTCTAGGCTCCGTCGAGAGCACTGGCTTGGGTCCTCGAGCCCTTGGGCGAGGACCCTACACCGACTGTACGTTATCAGTGTCGGACACTGGAAGAAAATGAGATGTGCAAAATCCAGATGGATCTGTTACCAGTAACCTTGGAGTATTCTAATATATTCTAATATACGTGAACAGCACGACATGCCCATCTGCGCACCGACCCCGGGTGCCAAGATTCTTTCTAGGCTCCCTCCGCGGCTTTGCGCTTCTTGGACTTGGCTTTAGCCGATCCTTTGGGCGCGGTTGGATCCTTCGGAGTCGCCTTCGCAGCTCGGATCAAGCTGTTTGCTACCTTGCTGGGCCTCTCATAACGCTTCGCGATATCGAGATATCTGGTAGCAATGGGAAGATAGACCCCATCATCGTGGACCAGCTCAGAGATGAGCTTGTCCACCTGGTCGTAGATCGCCCTTGGCCGTATAGTACTGGGATGGGGCCACATGAGCGTCTGTCAAGACTTCTTGTTCATATGGCTAGACCAGGGTACCTGCCCTGTGGGGCAGAGGCTCATAAAACAATCTAGTAGGTATCAATGCAGCCAAGGCACTGGAACTCCTGCTCGAAGTTGGTCATCTCCTTGAGGCATTCAGTCGCATAGCTGACTCCTTTCAACTGCTTCCGCATCGAGCCAGCGTGGTTGGCCTTCGAGAGGGCCCGCCCCCTTAAGTCTGCCGCCTTGTCCAGCGGTGTAAGTTTCTCCACTCGTGGTGCTTCCGGCTCAGTTTCACCGTCTTCCTCTTTCTCTTTGCCGCTGGCTTCATTTTTCCTGGCTTTCTTTGGTTTTTTGTTCGGAAGTGGCTTTGGGTCCTCCTCCATGTCCACATTGTCCTCATCATCCTGGCCGGGCCCTGTCAGCGCCCGCCGGGGCACACTGAGAATTTGTGCAACGTTGGCAGCGTCACCCGCACGAACTTCTCCGGAAGCAGTGAAACTGCTTCCTCGGATTCCGTTCGCATGAATGCACGAATGCTACATAAATGTTGAAGTCGAACATAACTGCATGCACGATGTATGAATGCAAGCAAGAAACGTTCTTCTGTGCCTCTCGTCCATTCCCTCTGCCACTCGTTGTGCAAGTAAAGCTTCAGCCCTTTACAATTGGGATCATCAACCTCCAAACCAGCCTTCCTTTTTTCCTCCATCACCTTCGCAGCATTGACCGCACCGTACTTGCCGATCAATTCCTGTTCCGTCAAAGGTTTCATCTTTCCCTTTTCCTTGTCCGTCCCCACAGAAATGGACGATGCAGTCCACTGCCCGACCAGCTCATTTTCGTCTCCTCCTGCAGCGACGATCAAGTCGATGGCTTTGCTCTTTGAATCTTCGTCCCGCACCAACTTTGCCAAGTCATCAGGCAAGGCTTGCATCCTCTTTGGGTTGCCTTTCAGGCGATTCAAGAACATGGCGGCGTTCTTTCGGTTGTAGAGTGGCGCAGAACCTTGGACCAAGCCGTCGCTTGCACTGCCAGGCGTTGTTTTTGCACTGCCAGGCGTTGTGATTGCACTGCCAGGCGTTGCAGGAGATGGCGTACCAGGTGCCTCCACCATGCGTGGGGTTGCAGGACTTGACCAACCCATCTTCGCACTGACATCATCAAAGGTCGGGGCATTAGGGGCCGGAGGAACGGCACCCCTGGTGGTAGGGGCCGGAGGATCGGCACCCCTGGTGGTAGCGGCCGGAGGATCGGCACCCCTGGTGGTAGGGGCCGGAGGATCGGCGCCCGTTGTGGTAGGGGCCGGAGGATCGGCATCACTGGTAGGGGCCGGAGCTGGCGTTGCTGCCTTCGGCTTGATCAGTTTTGCAAGCTCATCCTTGCAGAACTGCTTGCAACCCTCATCCCCAGTAGCCATAATGTCCTGCAAGAGCTGTAGCTTTTGCAACTTTGTCGCGTTCATCGGCAAAGCCTGGTATTTTTCTGTCGCCTGTCTTGCCATGTCGACCTGACAGTGGCGGATTTAGGCTTTGGGGTTTAGGGTTGTATAAAATTTAGGGAGTTAAGGCTTCGGGTTTAATGTTGAGGTTCTAGGTTATGGGGTTTATACTTATGGTTTAGGGGTTAAGGTTTCTTAGTTTCTTACAAGTCGCACGGCCTCCACCTTGGCTTTATCAGCGTCTTCCTTTTCCTTGGCCTTGTCCTTGGCCGATCTCATATGTTCGGCCTCCTCCTTGTCCTTGGCCAATCTTGCCAGCCTGAACTGTTCCCTTTCCTTCGCCAACCTGGCATCCCTTTCCTTGGCCATCCTGGCTTTCTCAGCTTCCTCCCTTTCCTTGGCCAGCTTGGCTTCCTCCATTTCCTTGGCCATCCTGGCTTTCTCAGTTTCCTCCCTTTCCTTGGCCAGCTTGGCTTCCTCCATTTCCTTCGCCAGTCTGATGGCTTTCTCGGCTTCCTCCCTTTCCTTGGCCATCCTGGCTTTCTCAGCTTCCTCCCTTTCCTTGGCCAGCTTGGCTTCCTCCATTTCCTTGGCCATCCTGACTTTCTCAGCTTCCTCCCTTTCCTTGGCCAGCTTGGCTTCCTCCATTTCCTTGGCCATCCTGACTTTCTCAGCTTCCTCCCTTTCCTTGGCCAGTTTGGCTTCCTCCATTTCCTTGGCCATCCTGGCTTTCTCAGTTTCCTCCCTTTCCTTGGCCAGCTTGGCTTGCTCCATTTCCTTGGCCATTCTGATGGCTTTCTCGGCTTCCTCCCTTTCCTTGGCCAACCTGCCTTTCTCAGCTTCCTCCATTTGCTTGATCATTTTGCTTACTTTCTCAGCTTCTTCCTTTTCCTTGGCCAACCTTGCTTTCTCAGTTTCCTCCCTTTCCTTCGCCATTCTGCTGGCTTTCTCAGCTTCCTCATGTTCCTTGGCCAACATGGTTTCATCCTCCAGTTCCTTGGCGACCCTGGCAAAATCAATTTCAAGCTCTCGCTTTGGAGATTTTCTGATCGCATCATCCTCGCGTTCCTCGAGCCCGACCTCACGCATGAGATGCTCCAACGTGGCATGAAAGCCATCCTTTGTACCTGTGATCGAAACAAACCAGAACATGTGCACACTGAAGCTGCACCAAAACGCGAGTCATGGATGTCCTTCTGTCTGCAAGTCAGCAGGTGGCAGATCGTACTGGGTCGGCTGGGCGTCCTGGAAACAGATATGGCGCGTATCGGAAACAGGATGGGTTTGGCGGGATTGAAGTCCTGGGAGGAGATGTCCATCTCGCAGCCGTAGAGCTGAGACTCGAGTTCTTTCATCAGGTCCTGCTCCTCTTGCGCGTCGATCGTGGCCTCCGTCTGCTGAGTGTCCTAGATAGGCGGCAGCATGTTTGTTTGCTTTTCTTCCAGTTCCCTGAGCCCGAATGGTCCTGCAGGAAGGTGTCCGAAAAGCCCTGCCCAGCCACTCCGCCAGCAGCAGCCCCCGCCCTCATAGCGGTGTTCAGAAGCCGCCCGAACTTCGCCGGGTCGTTCTCGGCTTCTCCCGAAAGAGCGTCAAGCTGCTCCAGCTTCACTCGCATGGGGTCGTTCGCCATGCCCTGGAATTCCAGGGCCGCCTACGGGAGCCCCTTCCCAAACACCTTGAATACAAAAGATGCTGCCATGCTGACATTGACCAACACGCAGCAACAGAAAGCGGAATGCAAAGATCCAAGCGAGCAGCAACCTAAAGCAATACATTTGAGCAACTTGGGGCAGCCAACCAAGGCAGGAAATTCAATTTTCATACGCCGCGGGTGCACAGAGCGATCTATCGTCCATAGCGACGAACAATCTCTTCCAGATCTCCTTTGCCGAAGATTTCTCCCGATTCCGTGATATAGGTGAAGTCGTCGGATCCCCAACGTCTCATAACCTCCAGCTGCTTCACGAAGTGGTTGATCTCTGGTTGGGTATAGATCTTCGGAACCTCGGCGGCGGCTGAGCTCGAGACCGCCGGCTGTTGAAGAGCATCATCCTTTTCGGTCTTCTCGGGTGGCCGCGTCTTCTTGGGTTTCTCGGTCTTCGCATCATTTTTCGGCAGCAAGAAGCCTTTCTTCATGGTGTTGGAGGCAAGGGATCCAAAATCTCGAGCACCACCGGCTGCAGCATTGCGAACACCGCCTGGCTTTCGGTGATTCAGCTTCTGCAATCGGTGCTTCAGCTTCTGGCCGTACGAAAAGGGTGTTAATGAACTTGTGTGGCGTGGCGAGGTGCCAACGGCCGTTCTCTGCCTCCGGAGGGGTGGCGCAAAGCAGCCAAACCTTCACCTACTACTACAGCTTCTGCAAACACTGCTTGGCTTTCGGTGCTTCAGCTTCTGCAAACACTGCTTGGGTTTTCGGGGATTCAGCTTCTGCAAACACTGCTTGGGCTTTCGGGGCTTCAGCTTCTGCAAACACTGCTTGGGCTTTCGGGGCTTCAGCTTCTGCATACACAGCACATAAATAGTTTATCAGTTTTGCAAGTAGATCTTTGCAGTCCTGGCATCCAGGACGGTAAATATAGC